CTTAGCCTTAAAACCAACTGGTTGACTTTCGGCCAATCACCAGGAGTTAGTGAGTTCTAGTTCCATCTTAGCCTTGAAAACTGGCTGGGTGACTTGGGAACAGTCCCTCTCTCTCAGCCCAAGTCGACTCATGAGTTGGAAGGGACCTTGTAGGTCATCTAGTCCAACCCCCCACCCAAACCAGGAGACCTTACACCATTTCTGACAGATGGCAGTCCAGTCTCTTCTTGAAAGCTTCCAGGGATGAAGGTCCCACAACTTCCGAAGGCAACTTCTGCTCCATCAGTTGATTGTTCTCACGGTCAGAAAATTCCTCCTTGTTTCTAGGTTGACTGTCTCCTTGTTCAGTTTCCATCCATGATTCCTTGTCTGGTGCTTTTAGAGTGGAGGAGGAGGAGGACAAATTCCTCCTCTTCGTCAAGTTTGAATCGATAATATTCTAACTTTCGGATTGTTTTTAGGACAATAGAGGGCTCCGACTGCCCGAAATCGATCCAGATTTCAACAGCCTGAGCTTTAGAAATTTGGGAGGCTGCCAAAAAGAGACTCAAAGGCCAAGAGAGGAAGAAAATGCTCCTCTTATTTTTTAAGAGCCACAGAGAAAGTGAGAGTTGGGTAGATGCCAGCAAACATTGGGAACATCTTGTAGTTTTGAGGGGAAGAATTTTGAGCTTAGGAAGAACTTCTCCTGACCTGTCCGTAGAGAACCATGCTGTGCATTTAATTTGACTGGCTTCCATACCTCTTGAATCAATGGACACTTCATCTGATGAGCCCAACTGACTCAGATAGTGAGGAGGTTGGGGGAGGAACATGGGCCAGTCCTGGAGTCTGGGGAAGGATCTGATGAGTGCTTTGTGTTAGAGGCAGAGATGGGGCCAGGGTCGTCTGATAGTTATCATCTGCCTTCGGAGATCAGTGGGGAAGAAGAACAGCTGGAGCCTGTTCCCAATGTACGCATGCACAGAGCTGCCAGGAGAAGGAAACAATTAAGGAACAAGGGTCGACTCAGAAGTAAAGACTCAGAGGGACAGTGAATGGCCCCTCCCATAGGGAATAAAGAGGAGCGAAAGGGGAGTGGGGTTTGCAGGAGACAATTAGTTCAATTCATTAGGGTGGAGATCAGTTCCTGTGTTGTCTGCTACAATGTGGCATCTGAAAGATATCGGCCTGGCAGCTCTCCAAGCCTGATCAAGGTCTGTAATTGTGAAATCTCTTGAAAGACTGTTGGCCTGGATTTTACCGGAGAGGAATTCACTTTAAAATAAAATAAAAGGTGTTTTATCGGGACGAGGAGTCTGCTTCACACGATCTTGGGAACAAGCCGAGGTCAGAACACTCTCCTCCAGACCCTGAAGAGACGAGAAGAGCGTTGCTGGCAGGCCAAATGGCAGTGCCATCCGGCGAAATGACAGCCAGCGAGACAACGAAGCCATCCTTTCCCATTTCGCGTGATTAAGGTAAAGGTTCCCCTTGCACATGAGTGCTATTAATTCCCAGCTCTAGGGGGCCGTGCTCATCTCCATTACAAAGCCGAAGAGCCAGCGCTGTCCAAAGACATCTCCGTGGTCATATGGCCAGCTGGACTAAATGCCGAAGGTGCACAGAACGCCGTTCCCTTCCCATCAAAGGGGTCCCTATTTTTCTGTTTGCATTCTTTAGGTGCTTTCGAACTGCTAGTTTGGCAGAAGCTGGGATGAGTAATAACAGGAGCTCACTCCGTTACACACGGCGCTGGGGATTTGAACTGCTGACCTCTCTGATCGACAAGCTCAGCGTCTTCGCCACTGAGCCACCGCAATGTCCTTATTGAGAGGATGCACCGCCTCCAGATACAAATCGCTCTATTTAGCTCTCATTTCCCATTCACATCCAGTGGACCAAGTCTTCTTCCTCGTCCTCTCTGCCTTTGTCTGGTCCTCTTCTTTGAAGGCCCTGTGGGCTGAGGGCCATTAAGCCTCGTATATCAGGACACCGACCTGAATAGTTGTAAAGCCTTGGAAAGGAATGAAATTCTGGAAGCCCTTGGAGGCAAAGATCTGCAGGAACGCCGCTTTTCCGTTGATGCGATGGATCTTTTTACCAAGGGCAGTGGGTCACCTCTTTACCGCTAACTTGGTTGCCTCAAAGCTTTGCTTATTTGTTTATTTCCTTCAAAAGGCAACTGAACTATTTTTCCTCGAGGAAGAAAAAGTTTCACTTCTCATACAAGAAGCATGGTCAGTTCTGAGGGTGGGGAAAATGGTAGGATAGGTTCTGCTAGGAAGGACTGTGGGTTGTTGTTATTGTTGTTTTTGCAGTCATCTGGTTGTTAGTACTCTCTCTGAGAGCTGTGGAGGCTACTTAGGGGGTTATTTTATGCCCTGAATCGGGGTGCAATTGGTGTGGAATCTTCTTGGAAGTGCTATGTTGCAAACTGGAAATAGGATTGTGTCCTATTTCCCCTTCTCTGTTGAGAGAGGGCTGTTCGAATCTAACATAGATGGATTCTTTTGCCCTTCTTTCAAATTCGGTTGCTCCTTTCTATCCAAAACGTGGACGTTGCTGTCTTTGAAAGTTGGTTTCCCTTAAAAGTGGGATAAGATAAATTCACGGAGGACAGGTTTATCCAGGACTATCAAGTCTTAATACTATCCCTGATGCTAAGGAGTCCTACTCTCCCTCCCCATTTGGAAAAAAAAATCTGTTCCAAATGCAAAACGCCAGCATAGGAGCGGCGTTTCAGTTTCAGAACACCAAGCAGCTTTAGTATAGATCAGTTGAGCTAAGCCACGCCCAGGCTCCTTGCTGTCTCCTTGTTCACACAGTAAATATTCTTTCAGTTTCCAAACAGCCTTCAGCTCTCTCACACACTGACAGGACGCAAGCCAGATGAATACCAATCAATGCTGGTAGGCAGAGCAGGATTTCCCCCTTTATTTTCCTCCCCAAAAACGAAGCCTGACCACATAGTTTCATAGCGAAGGACGGGGATCCAGCCTAGCCTTTAAAAAAAGGGAACTTTGAGGAAATGCTTGCCTTTGAGTTTATTGGGTTGGAGTTGGTTTGTTGGAACTCTGACAACAGACAAGCTCCTTAATTGTGACCTTGGATGTCACAAATGCACAGGATGAGGAAGATGTCATTCCTTCAGAGGTCCTCCAGCCACATCTGCTACACTTTCTCTTGCAGGCACCTGAACGACATCGAGTTGGGCACCTCGTCCTTCTGGATCCGGATTGCCTTGGGAGCTGCGGTGGCCACCATTGTGGGAATCAGTCTCTACAAAGCAATGATAAAGAACAAATAGGGGATGGCGAGGACATAGGAACCTCTCTTTCTTCTCCTCCCTTGCTCTAAGGTTCTTTTTTCCCCCACGTGTCCAGGAAACCAACGTCCTTTGCCTCCCAAGGACTTTGCAAAACCCAAAAGAAGTGTGCAAGGGGAAGGCAGAAGGAGACCTGAAGGACGTTCTAACCCCCTTGGCTTCTCCCAACAGAGGGGTAGGTGGGTGTTGCAGATGGGAGCGGATGACCACCGTTGCACCAGCATCCTCCGAAATCATCGCAGTCACCTAACTGGCATGGGCAAGATTTGCGTTTTTTCTCACTCAGGGAATGTCCCCAATCCTGCAAGCCATAGCATCAGATATCTTCTGGGCCTTTCAGCTCCTACAAATATCTTAGCTTCCCCCACCCCAATTTTTGTTTTTAACCTCTTTTGGCTGTTCGTCAGAAGCTGAAGCTCCTGCAAGTCCAGTAAATGTTTTTTAAAATAGACGTGTCTTGGGGAAAGTCGAGACTGTTGTCCCTCTGGGGTGTCTCTGTTTGGACCTTCTGCTTCATCTCCTGTTTGGAAGGATGTCTTGGAGCTCCCCTTGGGGTTTCTGGGACTTTGTGAACCCTTTTTCTAAGAAGGAATTTCACCCAGGTTGTCTTCCTGGGGCGGGTTGACTCAAACACAGAACAGAGGAACCTCCATGGAGGTGGAAGGATGGAGAACTGAGATTGAACTTCTCGCTCTTGACACGGACATGACTCGTTGCACACCCATGGTAAGGCACCAGTGTGGTTTTCTGGGGCAGCTTGGAAACTTCTGTCTATCACTCGCACTCACTAGTTCAGGAGGTCCTGGGAGGTTGTCTACTCCGGCAACTGGGGAGCCAGTCGAGGAAGCAACTAGGACCTGCCTCCCTCCACAAATATTCTTGGATCCATTATAGGAGCAGCCCATCTTCTTATATTCAGCAATGCAGCACGTGGAAAAGTCATAGGTGTTTTTTTTCCCTTCCCACTTCTTTTTCCCATGTTCCAGGAAACCGATAATCTGCACATTCTTCCTATATTTTAGATTTTGGCTTGAAGGGGAGCGGGTATCAAAGAGTCCCCTCTACCGATGGATCTCGGCCATTGGTGGTCTAGCAGGCGAGGTCTCCCTCTCAGGGCCATCTTCCAAACTTTTTAACTCTTTTATCCTTGGCTCCCAAACTGAGCTACGTTCACAGCTCAAGAGGTAGAAGGGAAAAAAAAAAACACCCAGATTTTATGCCGTCCCATAAACAATCTCAGAAAGGAATTCTAAAAAGGAAAGTTTGGGTGGTTTTTTTTTTTTTTTTTACTTTGCAGTTCTTGCACCCTTCACGATTGGTCCTTTTTTGTGTGTGTGACACAGGTTGGGGTTTTCTCCTGAGTTCCTTCTCTGTGCTTGCAACCTGGGGCTCCCCATCTTCAGCCAGAACGTTGCTGGTTTTAGGATGGCAAACCCCTACTTTATTGGGGCTGTGTCTAGTCCAGGTTTCCCCACATTAGATTACTTCTGCGGGCCAGAAATGCAGGGGGCTACTAAAACTTGAGTTTGCCAATCATTCCAGCTTCGTGGGACGGAGGGGGGATTGGGGAATGGTTCCACATGAGCATATGGAACTCACCTGCCACTTCCGCAGCCCAGTTCTAAATGGTTCTAGACCTGGGATTAGGCTGTGGCCTGGTGGGTTCGGGACTCATGTATTAAAGGACACAGCAGACCACGTGGAGAAGCAGAAGGCACCCACTCGTCCACAGTTGTGACCTCCGCCACCAAGTCTATGAACTGAAATAAATCAAAAACTCTGCAAGCTCATTTCATCTCTTATACCCTTTTAGGTTAATATTCCCATTTCCTTATAAGATTATTTTTAAGGTAGATTAACGTACTGAAGAGAAGCTCTGTTATTGGGTCTCAAATCAATTGCCAAGGAAATAACTCCCGTCAGTATTCAGCTCCCATTCTTGACCTCATGTTTTTCTACGTAACTTTAAACAAGTTATTTCCCCAGCACTGTTTTTAAATCCTTTCCCCTTTCCCCTCTCTACTGGAATCCTTAATTCAGGCAGTCGCATCAAGGGCTTGGGATAGGATGCAGCCAACATATGCTTGGGGAATTCTGGTTTGCATTTTTGGTCCTTTTTTTTTTTTTTTAAACAAACTAAACTTTTTCATAAAACCAGCAGCTGGAAAGTCTGTGTCTCCAACCTTCGCCAGTTGAAGACTTGTGGATTTCAACTCCCAGAATTCCCCAGTCAGTAGTGCTGGCTGGGGAATTCTGGAAGTTGAAGTCCACCAGTCAATTCTAGGACTGAAAGTCCAACTTGGGTCAATTGGAAGACTTGTGGACTTCAACTCCGAGAATTGGCTTGTGGACTTTAACTTCCAGAAGTCCCCAGCCGGCACCGCAAGTCCACAAGTCTTCAACCAGCCAAAGTTGGACGCCTCTGGTTTAAAACCATTGTTCACCCAGTACGTCATGGAATCAATGGAGAAAAAAAATTGGAGAAACACACAGAACTGATGGTGGCTGGTGGCCTTCAAGCCTGCTTTTGAGAAAGTCCTAATCTTAATGCTTTTAAAAAAAAAAACTAATCAGGGTCTTTGGTTCTGATGAGCAGAAATAGAAGCAGGTACGGACCATGAAACAAGGCATTAAATATTCACCAAACACCAACAAGGAAGAGACTCTGCACACCTGGAAAGCTAGCATATTGGGAGAGTGGAGCTTCCTCTGGAGGGCATTTTTTTTTAAAAAAATAGGGGGGTCCTCAAATGTTCACCCCTTGCACTAGGAAGTGGCCTGGACTGGGCCTGGCTTTATGACCTTCATTGCTGGGATCTCAACTGTAACATTTAGCCAGCTTCAAAAGAAATGGTCCTTAGCCCTGGCTTATGGGAGTGGCATAGCCCAGTCGCACTGCATGTGGAATATTTTGGATTCTTTTGGGATTCCCTGGACATTTCAGGTACCCCTTCCACATCACTTTGCACCCAGAGATAAGCTCCAGGTAAATTTTAATATCTCCATCTCTTACTCCTCCTCTTCCACTGCATTTATGGATTTGCTACCTGGAGCAAATTCTCAGCAGCCAGCTTTGCAAGCGACAACCTCTTCTTTTTTCACCAAGCGAGATGGGGGCCGTTCTCCTCCCCCCAGGGGGGCTCCTCTTAACCCACATCTCTGTTCAGTCGTACCGAGTTCCAACTCAACTGCTGTGAACCTGAATAAATTTTTATGCACCAGATGGTTGCAGACAAAAGACAGATCCTCTTGTTTGCTTTCTTGGGGGGGGGGGGGGGTTTGGTTGGGTAGGTGGTTGGGGGGGAGGGGGGGAAGACGAGGAGAGGGCTGTCTCGGGATATTTACAGCTTTCATAAACAATGCACATCTGTGCAGGCCAGCGTGCTGTTGTATGTCTAAAATTGAGCGTGGATTCCGTAATTCGTATTCATATCCCGTTAACGATTAAAAATAGAAAACTCCAAGAAACAATAACGGATAGCTGTACTATTAGCTTTCCTGAAAGGAAGACAACCTTTTCAAGGGATGCATGTAGGCCAATCAAGGATTTCAAGACAAAGCAGCCTCACCAACCACTGAGTCGCGATAAAAGTAAAATTGAAGAGAGATTTTTTTTATATATGTTCCTAAGTTTTAAAGGCTTGGGGAGTCTTCATTTGGATCAAAAAGTGCTTGTAAAAACACATCTGCCCAAACTTAAAAAAACAGCATCTAAAATTAAATGGCTGTACGCAGATTAAAAGCCGTTGAGTTGCTTTCGCTCTTGAGGAATGAATAAATGGCTCTACAGTGGGAAAAGATTCAGAGGAGGAAAAATAGAGTAAACTCAAGCAGAAGTAGCCATTTTTCTTAGAGCTACCTTGAAAAAAGAGGTATGTAAAGTAAGGTGTGCACTTTTAGAGCAAGGGCGTCCAACCTTAAGAACTTGAATCGCACTGTCATGCCCCTGTCAGAGTTTGAATCTGAGGAGGAAGACGAACAGCCGACAGGGAGAAGGGAGTGTGGCTCCGTTGGCTGTGGAGAAGGCTGGAGAAGGGCAAAGTCCGGTGGGCAAAGCAGGGGAGAGGTAGAACAAGGGAGAGGGAATTCAGAGGAAGACCCAGGCCCACCCCTTCTTAATCCTAGGGCACACAGGGAGGAAAGGAGAAGAGAGCAATGTGGGTTGCGTGGCTTATGGGGGAGGAAAGGGCCCTGATTCCCTTCATTAGCCACACATGGGAAGAAAGTTTAAAAGAGATGCAAGCTGCGTGCAGCAGCTGCTGGGAACAAACGTGAGTTTATCTTGTGTTGAGTTTTGTTATCTGCTTTCCTGGCATCCTCCCAACCATGTTGAATTACTACTATTCCTTCACATCTGGAATTCCTTCTCTTGCCCTGCCGGACTAATTACCTCATTTTGCCTTGATTGGACTTATAGTTACAGTTTTTGCTGACCACGTTTTGGATTTGATTCTCTGCAGCCAAAGGCTGTTCCTGGGAGAGTTTTTCTCCAGCCCAGAAGGTAACCAGGACATGTGGGGCAAAGTTGGAACAAATAAAGGGACTCCTACTGATTATCTGACTCTGTTGCCTTTGTGCCACAACCCTTTGGGTCATCACAGCACTTAGCAATGGCACTTAGACTTATATACCACTTCATAGTACTTTACCGCCCTCTCTACGTGGTTGTACCTGTAACACCTGTAGACTTGAACTCCCAGAATTCGCTAGTCAACCATGCTGGCCTGGGAAATCTGAGAGTTGATATCCATAGGACTTAAAAGTTGCCAAGGTTGCTTAAAACATTGTTCTTAAGCTGTGGATTGTTGAACCCAAGACTTGCGCCATAAGATATAATGATCTGGCATGCTGTGCTAAATCAGCCTATGAATTCCACAGCATATACCTCCCTATCACAGGTAGTCCACAACTTACAAACCGTTCATTTAGTGACCCACGTTACAACGGCACTGAGAACAGGGATTTATGACCATTTTTACACCTGACCGTTGAGGCATCCCCAAATTCAGCTGCTTGGCCACGGATTCGTATTTATGATGGTTGCCGTGTCCTAAGCCACAGGGACGACTTTTGCAGAGTACGCTTCGCTAGCTTGGCAAGATTTGCAAAAGAACCAAAGCAAACATTTTTCCAGATTTTGTTCTATCGCACTTTATTAATTTATTTGATTGCTTTTTTTTGTTTTTTGTTTTTTTTTATTGGAAATATGTTTTTCCATGGTGTAAGCCGCCTCGAGTCGCCATGGGTGAATAGACGGCAATATAAATTAAATAAATAAATAAAACCTCTCTCTGCCTGCCTTAATCCCATTGAAATGCGATTCGAAGGACTTAACATCAAGCCATCGCTTGCATTCTCGCTCCCTCTATTCTCCCCTCGTATTGCATGGTGGGATTCAGGAGTGACTCCCGAAGAGGTTTTGGCCTCGTCCAAGGCTTTTGAGCACGGTGGATATTTCATCCTCTCCGGAGAAGATGGGGCTTATTTGCGGAAGAAGCACAGAATGTTTCCATATCAACACAAGCACACATTATTTCAAGCTGGAAAAAGTCAGAAAAGACACAGGCCCTTTGATGCCAGTTGCAGCTTTCTTCTCCCACCCATGCAGGGATTCCTGACTGCAACATGTGCCAGGCAAGGATAGGATAGGATAGGATAGGGATAGGGATAGGAATAGGAATAGACAATAGAAAAGAAGAGAAGAGAATAGAATAGAAATAGGAATGGAATAGAGAATAGAATAGAATAGAATAGAATAGAATAGAATAGAATAGAATAGAATAATTTTAATTAATAAATTGCATTTTTGTCCTCCTGTTCCAGGTGATGAAAGAGCATTTGGCTTTGATTCTCCCCCCACCTACCACCCCAAAGGACAAAAATTACAATGGCACTGAAAAAAGAGACTTTGACTTTGTAAGGTTTTAAGAAGAGATTGGACAACCATTTGTCTGAAATAGTATAGGATTTCCTGCCTGAGCAGGGGGTTGGACTAGAAGACCTCCAAGGTCCCTTCCAGCTCTGTTATTCCATCCTATCCTATCCTGGGCTAAATTGAGTCGGGATGATAATAATACAACCTAGAAGAGAAAGAACTGGAGAAAAAAGACAAAATGGAAACGCCTGCAAATAAAAGTAGAATGACGGTGGCAAAAGGAAGCAAAGATACTCTCAAGAGTAATGGGTGCCTTGGGAGTGATCCTGAAACATCTGGAGCAGCCCTTGAGCACCATCGGAAATGACAAAATCCCCATCAATCAACTTGCAAAAGGCAGCTTTTCTTGGAACAGTTTACATCTTTACAATGATGCATTTAACACCCTCAAGCAACAACATCTGTCTAGCCCAAATCCTTGGGAAAAACCGATAAGTGGACAAAAAAGCCAGCTCTAGTCTAAACTTCTGGCTGACTGTGCAACAAACAATAATAATATACAGTAATTAGAACAATGAGACCATTCCAGACCATGGGTTATATCTCAATGTACCCTTGTCAGCTGTGTAATAAAGTGGCAAGCCATAATTAATAAGCATAATTTAAAATCGAGCAAGTCATTGCATCTTTTGTAATACCATCTGTTGTAAAGAAAACAGTGTCTCCAGTTGTTTATATCATTTTAATAGCTGCCCAGAGTCATGTATTTGAGGTGGATGTCTAGATAAATATAATATATAGAAGATTTAGCCAGTTAGATAAACCACGTTCAGCCGTTACATGGTTTCTTTCCTCAGGTTATCATAGATTATATCCGATCCCATAAATTATGCTGCCAAAGTAGGCTTAAGATCGAGTATGCTGTGTGATGCCAGAGACTGTAATGTCTTCATCCTTTGGTCCCCATTGTAGTGGCTGCTTTTCTCATTGCGCAAGACCAAGAATATCCAGAAACTGATGGTATCAACCTGTGAAAATATCTACAGACCCCTCACATCCTGGACATAAACTGTTTCAACTCCTACCCTCAAAATGACCCTATAGACTATAGAGCACTGCACACCAGAACAACTAGACACAAGGGGAGTTTTTCTCCGAATGCCATCACTCTGCTAAACAAATAATTCCCTCAACACTGTCCAACTATTTACAAAGTCTGTACTACTATTACTATTAATCTTCTCATCACTCCTTATCACCCGCCCCTTCCCACTTGTGACTGTATGACTGTAACTTTGTCGCTTGTATCTTTATGATTTTTATTGACTGTTTCCTAGTATGGTTTGATTGCTTATTGTACCCTATGACTATCACTAAGTGTTGTACCTGATGATTCTTGACTCTTGACGAATGTATCTTTTCTTTTATGGACACTGAGAGCATTTGCACCAAGACAAATTCCTTGTGTGTCCAATCACACTTGGTCAATAAAAGAATTCTATTCTATTCTAACCTCTGTGGCGGGACAGGTTCCTTCACCTGGGCCTTCAGAGCCCATCCCACTAAGTCATAAACTTTGTAGACTTTAGTTCAGCATTCAATACCATCATTCCAGACATTCTTCTAACTAAACTAATCCAGCTATCGGTACCTGGACCCACTTGTAAGTAAGCTTCTTAACAGACAGGAAGCAGCAGGTGAAGCTAGGCAGAATTGCATCTGATACCTGTACAATTAGCACAGGGCCCCCTCAACCCACAGCAACCCACCCCGCTGTGTGGTTGCTCCACTTCTCCTCTCCCTATATACAAATGACTGCATCTGAAATGATCTATCTGTTAAAATAATGAAGTTTGCAGATGATACAACAGTGACTGGTCTCATTTGAAACAACGGCAAATCCGCATACAGACAGGAGGTTGTATAATTTGCCTCATGGTGTAACTGGAACAGTCTTGAACTGAAAAGTCTTGAACACTCAAAATCGTAGAAATGGTGGTGGACTTTAGGAGAAACCCTCCCATACTATACCACCTCTTACAATAGTAGACAACACAGTATCAACAGTAGAGACCTTCACATTTCTAGGTTCTACTATATCGCATGACCTAAAATGGGCACCTAACATCAAAAATGTCAACAAAAAAGCACAACAAAGAATGTTCTTTCTGTGCCAACTCAGGAAGCTCAAACTGCCCAAGGAGCTGCTGATCCAGTTCTACAGAGAAATGATTGAGTCTGTCACCTGCACCTCTATAACTGTCTGGTTTGGTTGTGCAACCCAACAAGACAGACACGGACTTCAGAGAGTAATTAGGACTGCAGAAAAAAAACAATTAGAACCCTTTCTGATCAAATTATGACAG